AGGTGAACAACTAACCCTTCGCTGTTTTTCCTTTTTCAGTCCTGGGATGGAACCCAGGGCCTTTGCACTGAGCTGCAAACCCAGCCCTTCTTATTTTTTATTTTCAGAGTCTCACTGAGTCACTAACTTCCCCAGGCTGGGTTTGAACTAGCAATCCTCCTGCCTCAGCCTCCCAGACAGCAAAGTGTGAGTCCCTTTCGCTGCTCACCCTTGAATTCTCGCTTCAGGGCCCACTTTTGGGGAGCCCATCTGGAGACATAAAGGACAACTTCCATCAGCCTCGTGCCTAGCCACACGGCCCCAACAGCTGGCCAGGGTCCCCAAGGCCTGGAACTCCAGGTGACCCTCGGTGCCTGGCCAGGGACACTGGGTTTTCCCCGGCTGTGAGACCAGGAGCAAACAAAGACTAGGATCAGGCTCCCCCTGGTCCCCGGGCAGCACCCGCTCCAGGCCGGGATCTTCACCCTACAAGGCCAGGCTGCCTGCATCCTGTGAGCCGCAGCTCGGGGAGGGAGACAGGACAGCAGGGGCCCAGGCCTCGCAGCAGCTCTGTTCTGCGGCCGTTACTCACAGACAAGCTGGGTGTCACAGGCCTCGGTTACCAGGACTGTAAAGTGAGCCCAGTGTGCACGAGGCCCTGGGCCCCCTGTGAAGGAGGAGGAGCTGGGTAAAGGACACACGTGGCCAGGCGCGGCCAAGCGAGGAGGGCCCCAAATCCGCCCCACTCCTATGCTCCTCCAAGACACAGCCACGTCTGGGGTCCCTGAATCCTGCTCCCTCGTGGCCTCCCTGCCTGTCCCCCACCCCATGGAGAAGGCACAGGGGGTCCTTGCTGTGTCTGAGAATCCAGGAAAGACCCTGGAGCAGGGGTCATCCGCTCCGAGCTCTGAAGGGTGAATGAACGTCTCCTGGGCACACAGGTGAACGTGCGTCTGCGTGGGGTGTGGGTGGCGGAAGGGCCCATTTTATCTAACAAGCACTTCCCACCTGCTGGGAAGGACCTGGCAGCCACTAGAGGACGGAGACCCAGGTATCTCCCCAAACAGTTCAAGACCTTGAAGAAAGAGACAGAGAAAGATGGAGAGAGTCGAAGACAGAGAGACATGCTGGGGACCGGAAGAGACACGGCAGCCCAGGGACATCGGAGGAGAGACAGACGCCAGCAGGGGGCCCTGGGAAGAGCAGGCCGCGCCCAAGGCTGGGGGGTGGCAGAGCTCTGATCCCAGCACCCAGCAGCCAAGGCAGCCTGCAGGGGAGAAGGGACCTTGGGGTCCCCTGTACCCCCACAGCCTACCCTTCCCCCAGACTCAGCAGGAAAACCCAAGCCGCCCAGCAGAGCCCCACCCTGCCCAGGGCCAGAGGCTGCGTCACCAGGTAAAACGGAAGCTGCTCGTCAGTCTGCTTTTCTCCCCTTTGGGAAATCCAAGGCCCAAATAAGGTGCGGGCGCAGTGCCGGCGGGCGGGCGGTGGCGGG